GTATTGTGAGGAAGATGACTTTTAAAGGTAAATTTGTAATTTTATTCTTATAATTATTCGGTTTTGTAAAGTATGCATCCCCGGGTGTTAAACCAGTGGGTGCACTTAGCATTTTCCATTAGAAAATGGTAGGTAGTGTTTTTAGGGCTCTTTGAAATTTTTGGGACTATATATTGCACAAAAGCCTACTTTTTTTTTTAGCCCTTTACCTTAATAAGTTTGTAAGTTTTAACCTCTCACCTTATACTATGACACTTTTAGCCCCCTCACTTATCCGAATTAAAGAAAATAACCCTTATTTAACGTCACGTTATAACGTTTTATTAGTTCTGTTAGCTGATTGTTAATTCTGTTAACTGACTATTAGTTTTGTTAGCTAACTGTTAACTCTGTTAACTGATTATTAGCATTTTGTTAATGGAACTAACAAATAAAATTGAATTTAAATTTCATGTTTTCTATAATAGAATGTTAACAACCAACTAACAGAATTAACAGTTAGCTAACAGGACACTAAATAATAGCTATTTTCTTCAATTCGTATAGGTGATGAGTTAAACATGTCATAGTATAAGGTAATGGGCTATAATCTACAAATTTATTAAGGCAAATGGCTAAAAGTAGGTATTTGCCCTATATATTGTTGATATGAAATGATGGTGTGGGACTATTATCGTTATTTGCTTAAGATCTGCACTTTTGGATGACTAAGTTACCAAGATCAGAGAAGGTAAGGAGAGAAAAGAGGAAAGGATGAAACATGAACATAAGGGCATTTTAGACATTTAAAATTAAATTTTAATTTTTTTAGTTAAAAGACAAATTTATCACCTGTCATACAGTGAGACCATGATTAGGGACAATGGGAATAGATGCGAAGAAAAAAATTTGCCACATCATAAAAAAAAGTGGGATTTTTTCCCATAATTTTTTAAATTTCAAAATTTTGAATTTGTGGCAAGTTAAAGTGCCATCTTGGCACTTCCACAAGGACCAAGTTAGAAATAGAAAAATAAAGTTTAAGGATGAAGTTGATAATTTTTTAAGTTCAAGGACTTACTTGATCCAAAATTAAAAGTTGGGAGACCAAATTGTTGATTTAATATTTTAATATTTTTTTACCTAGATAAGTCATTAAACTATCCTAATTGATGGGTTGAAACAATCACATAAGCTATCAAAGTAAAATCTTTTTGTAAAAGACAGTAATGATAAATTTTAAAATAAGGTTCTCAAAATTCATTGGAAATCATGATATATATATTGCCATATTTGAGAATAATATCATAATACTTTATTAAAATGTCGTACTCAATATTATTTTATTAAAATGACATATATTTAAGCGTTTTTCTTTTTGATATCTTAGAAGTGTGGTTGGTAAACACTTTACTTCTTTTATTGTCCTTTAATTTTCATATTCTTATTTTAAAGATCACCTTCACAATACCATTTTTCACAACCATATCTATAGCATTGCAAAACAATTCTAAACAAACACTTACTCTTTGATGAATCATAATTGAACCATAATATAGGTGACGATAGATTTGAACCATCTTGTACAGTACTAACTAGATGGAGAAGATGGAAAAAAAAATGGAGAAAAACACTCGAAACATTCAACGGGAGCCTAGTTGAAGTGGAATGATGAATGGGCACTAAAGAACAAATTGGGTCAATTCATACATGCATGTCTTGACAACAAGTATAATTAATTAATTGGCAATTAATCTGTCGCCCTATCACCGCAACATATATATTGCATGGAGTAGTAGTTAATTTAATCATTCGACTCCACCAACATTTGGGTCATTTATCCAGTCCGCCCTTTAGCAAAAATCCAAAGAAGAACTGATAAAGTAACATAATTTGCATTATATCTATACAATTACTTGCTAGCTATCACTTTCGAAACTTCAGGAGCGGAGATGTTTATTTTCCCACTCATAGTCAAGTATTTGTTTGAAGGTGAGGAACTCAAGTAGATGAGTGCTGGGAGACAAGGTCGGCAGAAGCTTGAGTAAGGTTGGTATATGTTTAAAATACTATTTTAAACTTAAAAAGACTAATTTAGAAGGTGTTTGGCAAAAATTATAAGCAGGTGTTGCTTATAACCACAATTTTTTATTTAGAATTTGAATTATTTTTGGATGGTTTTAGCATTTAAAATACTTATAAAAAAGTCTTAAGCAGTGTTACTTCTAAATTCTACCAAACATGTCCTTATTGGGTTTTTGAATCTTAAATATATATATTTCACTTATTTTCATACTATCTTTTAAATATGAGACAACTACACCTAGACCTAAAGAACAAATTGGATCAATCAGATCTGGGTTGGGTGTTTTAAGTCTATCAAATTAGGTAATTTCAAGTTTTGAGTTGAAGTCTTGAATTAGGTTGAGTTGACTCATATTTTTTTAAAAATTAAAATTTTAATCTTTTATCTATTCTTCTTTAAAAATGTAATATTAATAAATTAATTGGAAAAAAAGTCTATTAAAATAAAATTAAATCTAATAGTCTAATAAATTAAAATGATTTTACAACCTGAATTTTATTTTAATTTAAAATTAAAAAAAATTTTAAAAATATTTAATTAATATTTTAAATTTTAAAAATTAAATAGTTTTTTCGAGTCACTTCGAGTTGATCTTGATCTAATTAGGTTAACCAACAAATTTATTTAATTTCAAATTAAGATCATAAAACAAAACTTGACTCAAAACGAGCTAATTGGATCAAGTCTTCAGATTATATCCCATTTTACCAAGTCTAACCATACCTCATCCCATTCAACAAAGCAAGACGAGGTCAAACATTGAGTTTCATTAGATTGTTGTTATTTATATTTTTGGTACGCGAGTTTCGTTAGGTTATATGGCTTCTTGACATTAACCCATTTGCATACATACCTAATCTCTAATTGATAGAGGCAAATTAAAAGGAAAGTGAAAGTTTGCAACATGCCTTTAAAGTTAAAACCATCTCCCTCGCTCTCTTTCTTTTAATTTTACGTTAGTTCTTGTATCAATATTGATTTTTTTTTTATCAACAAATAAATTTTATTAAAAGTAAGGTACAAATGGTACTCAAATACAGATACATCTTATCATTTTTTTTTTTATTAGCAAAAAATGAGATTTGATTATATAGAGTACAAAGGGTACTCCAACCCAAATACAAAATTGTTAAAATAGTCTAACTAATGTAAAGTATTCCCAAGAAACATGTAAAACAAATCAGTCCAATCACACTACTCAGCATGCTCTCCATTTTTACACTTATGGAATGCCCTCAACAGTCTTCTATGCTTCCTTATGGCAACAGCACATTCCAGTGGATTAAATTTCCAATGAAATATCAAGAAGACACTACCAGCCACCTTATTTTTAATCCATAAAAACGTTTTAGACTGAATCATATGGAGCAAACCGTCCTTACACTCCCCTTTGTTCTGGAAAACTCTAATATTCCTCCAATACCAAATATACCAAGCCCCAACAAGGAAAAGACAGGCCCCTAGCTCACTCCCTACCATACCTCCCAATTCATACAAGAAAAACTCCATCACCCCTCCCACTGTATTGGGCATCACAACATGAATTCCCCACCAAGACAACACCTAAACCCAAATTAACCAGGCTTCGTCACATGTACAAAATAGATGATTAAGCTCCTCTTCCTCCTTATTGCACAAACCACACATTAATTCTTCTACCAACAAATTAACCCTTTATTTTTTAAATTTCATTTTGTTGGGAGTCTCTCCAAACATAATCACCACCCAAAGAAACTAACTTTTGAGGGTACTAATTTACACCAAATCAACTTACAAATTTGATCAGGAAGAATGAACTCCATTGGTGATAGAAACTCATAAGCCTTCTTCACTGCATACCTCCTTTCTGCATCATGCATCCACTTCCAGCAATCTTCAATGCCTTCCATGATTTGTACTCTGCTTAGCACCTCCCATAGCACCACCTCCTCACCGCTTTCTCGACCCAACCTCCCTCTTCTCCATTCAATATTCCATCTCTAGAAACCCCTTTCCCATACCCCCATTTCACAAACCAAACCTTCCTTGTTCATAGCTAGCTCAAATACTCTAGGGCATAAATCCCATAAAGATTTGTCCCCCACCCAAATCTCACGCCAAAAACCTACTCGCCTTCCATCACCAACCATCCAGCTAAACCCCTTCCCTAACAAGTTTTGTAATTTGATAGATCCCCCCCCCCCCACTAATAACATTCCTCCAAATCCTAGACACCCTCACACTATCCACAGCCTTGATGTCCACCTCCCTCCGACCCCCATAATACTTATCCCACACGACCTATTTCCATAGGCTCTCACCACCACCACCCAACCTAAACCACCACTTCCCTAAAAGTGCCCAATTCCTCCTCCTCAGATCCATGACTCCTAAGCCACCCTTCTCCTTACTACGACATACCATCTCCTAACTAACCCAAGGAATCTTCCTCTTTAATTCAGCCCCACTCCACAGAAATTCCCTTTGGATTCTAATCAACTCAGACACCACACAATTAGGCGCTAAAAATAAAGACATGTAAAAAATAGGTAAAGAAGAGAGTACCGAATTAAGCAGAGTGATGCGACTACCAAAGGACAGCAGAGCAGATTTCCAGATGGCAAGCTTGGTTCGAAATTTATTCAAAACTAGGTCCCACAACTTCTTAGTCCTAGGATTTCCATCCACAGGCATTCCCAAGTGCACAAAAGGTAGCTCCCCAACGCCTCTCAAAACAGTTGTTGCTCCATTTAACCACCTTTGTGCCACATTAAATTCAACAATACTACTTTTACGAAAATTAATTCGTAGTCCAGACATCAACTCAAACCACCGTAAAATGGTTTGCACAGTAAAAATATTCTCACCATTTGCTTTTCCCAAAATAACCGTATCATCTGCAAATTGGAGCAATGAGGTAGTCAATCCCTTGCTACCCACATCGATTCCATGTATCAATCCCTCTGTCTCAGCTTTTTTTACTATGCCATGTAACCCCTCGGCAATCATCAGAAAAAGAAAAGGGGATAAAGGATCCCCTTGTCTTAATCCTTTTCCCATCATAAACTCCTCGGCTGCGCTCCCATTCACTAACATTGAGATTCTGGCTATTGAAAGACAGTCCTTTATCCATCCTCTCCATCGTAATCCAAAACCAAACCTGTTCATCATCCAATCCAGGAAAGACCAATCGACACAATCATAGGCCTTTTCAAAATTGGCCTTAAAAATAAAAGCTTGGTGCTTTCGTCTCTTGACCTCCTCAACAACTTCGTTCAAGACTAGCACCCCATCAACCAACTGAAGACCCCCAACGAAAGCAAACTTAGTATCACTAATTATCTGTGACATTACCACCTTAAGTATATTCGCCCACACCTTTGCTAATAATTTGTAAACACACCCAATCAGGCTAATAGGTCTAAAATCTTCTAATTCCATCGAACTCAACTTTTTAGGAATTAAGTCAAAAGAGAAGAATTTAAATCCCTTACTAACCTGCCATGTTGATGAAACTCCCTAAAGAAACTCACAAAATCTTGCTTCAAGCTGTTCCAAGCAAATTTGATAAAGTTAAAATTGTATCCATCAGGTCTCAGTGCTTTATTCCCCTCACAACTCTTCAATCCATCTTCAATCCATCTTCAATTTCTTCTACCGAAAATGGTCTTTCTAACCATACTCTCATCTCCTCATTTATCTGCTTGAAAATAATACCAGAAGGTTTTGGACGATTCCATGATTCTCCACAAAACAGCTTTTGAAAATAATCAACAGTTGCCTTCTTTACCAACTCTAGCTCCTCCAGCCATTGTCCATCACATGAGAGCCCTAAAATGCCATTACAAGCCTTTCTTCCATTTGCACTTCTATGAAAAAATCTGGTATTTGCATCCCCCAATTTTACCCAATTACTTCTTGACTTCTGCTTCCATAAAGCTTCCCTCTTCCTCATAATGTCCCATATCTCCTGAAAGCCCTCTTGTCTTTCATGTACCTCATCTTCTTCCAGTGTAAATTCTTCATTCTTCATGTCCACACGTTCAACTTTAGCTGCTACCCTTTCAAAATGAGCCTCAATATCCCCAAACACCCCTTTGTTCCATTCCCGCAAAAATTCTTTCAACATCTATAATTTTTGTTTACACCTATAACCTGCAAACCCATCCACAGCCATCTCATTCCACTTTTCCTCAACCACTGTCTTAAATTCTGGATGTTGTTGCCAAACATCAAGCACCCTAAATGGTTTAGGACCCCAATGTGTTGTTTTGGTTTTCATAACAATCGCACAATGATCTGAAATAGTTCTCTTTAAACCTTGCTGCACCCATTCTCCACCCAATTTTGTCATCTCACTTGTCATCAATACCTTATCCAATCGGCTCATAGATGTGCCATCTGGTCTATACCAAGTGAACCTTCGATTCGCCAATTTATGATCTACCAAGCCCACTACCTCTATAAAATCATTAAACTCCTTTATATCTGGACTCTCCCCTATTCTACCCCTCCTTTCTTCAATACTACAAATTGCATTAAAATCCCCTGTTATCAACCATCTTCCTCTTTCATCCATAATCATTTACCTCAACTCATCCCATAACTCAGCTTTTTTCTTTCTATCATTTGGAGCATAAACACTCACAAGACAACAAACTTCCTTCTTCACTCCCCAAAGCCCTTTTATTCCCAAATAACCATCCTCTGTAAATTGTCCCAGCTTACTAAAATTCATCCTATCCCACACACAGAGCAATCCTCCTGAAGCCCCTATAGAACCCTTCACAACCCACTCAAAACCATTCGAGTGCCACACCATTTTATAGAGACCCTCATCAACCCCTTCTAATTTGGTCTCTTGTAAAAACAAAAAATCTAGTCTTTTTAACCTTACTAATTTCTCCACTTCCTTCCTCTTTAGCATACTCCTCAAACCCTTGACATTAAAAGACAAAACCTTCATCTTAATTTTTACCCACAACCGCATTACCCACACCCACCCACACCTCACGAATGTTGCCTCTTCCTCTCATCCCGTTCCTCCAGCTCAAGTAGTCTAGATTCAATCTCCTCTTTATTTTCCTGAAATTGCATACCCAACCTTCTCCCTACATTCATCATCTTCCTTACCTCCTGCAAATTTAACTCTCGTTTTATTACCTGATTTTGATGCTCAATGCAACCATTTGACAAAGACACACTTCCAACCCTCTTTACCATTTCATCGATCACCATTTGAACCTTCTTTGCCCGGCGTGTTTACCTTTGCTTTATCCGTGCAGTGACCCAGTCCACCCTTTCTTTCCAGATTTCGATCAACTCCTTTAGGTAGCAATCTGCAATTTTTCTTCTTCTTTTACCCGTCCCATCTCTAGATTTTTCTTTTTGTGTTGTGCTGGAATCCTCTAGATCATCTCCCATGGACCCTTCCTCTTTATCTTTAATTACCTCATTTGTTTGGCCTTCAATAAACCCACTACTCTCCTCCAACCCATTAGGAACATCACTCCCTACCAGCCCATTCTCCTCACCACTCTCCTCACCTAAATCATGCCCATTAACTTCTCCAACTTCCCGCGGCAAGTCAAAATTAGCATGATTATTGCATGCTATTACCTGCTGCACTCTTGAATTCAACAAACCTTCTTTGTGTAACGACTCTGCATCTATACTGTCATCATCCTCGCCGCTAATTCCGTTATTGATTAATTTTTGCCGGTCATCTTCGCTCTACATTGAAGAGGTTTCTGATAGGGTGGCCATCGAACTTTGCCGGTCTTCTTCCGACAGCCACCAATCCGAATCCGATCGCCATTCCTCTTCCACTACTTCTATCTCATACAGCTTCTCATCCACCTTCATATACATCTTATCATAATCTCAAAACTCCACAAAACAGTTGAATTAATTGACAAAAAAAGCTCATTACAGAAACTTACAATTCAATATCGATGTTGTAACATAGTCAAAACCATCCTCAATGAACGAACACAGTGGTGGTGACTTATTCGCCAGCTTCCCTCTAATCTAATTTAGTTGTTCTTTTCTATTGTATAAAATGGGAGAAAAATGTTTATCAATTAAGATTCTTTTTATACAAAATGACATTGTTTAGATCGTTTAGAATGCTTAAACAAAGGTGGTTTTAATTACTTTCTCCATCCATTTTTAGTTGACTTATTTTTACTCTTTTACTTTTAAAAATAAATTTTGAATGAAAATTTAACAATTTATATAAATCAAAACTCAAAATTTTTTTTTATCTCTAGCTATGTATAGTTCTTCTTAAGTGTTTTTATTGGATTAAAAAAATTTCAATTTTTGTTCATATAAATTTTTAAATTTTCATCTAAAATTTATATATTAAATATTAAAAAATCTAACTAGATATATTAAAAATAAACGGAGGGAATATCATTTTGTAATTGGGTCAAACCTTTGTCTAATGCATGCTGTTAAATCAATGCCATTTTGGATTAAATGACTCATAATCTTTAAGAGTCTTGTCTAACAAGTTCTATTCCCATTAAATAGTTTCATGTAATTGTAATCTTCTATGTGCCAACCTTAATTAAACAACATGAGGACAACTAATATAGGCTAGAGATTGTAATATTTTCTTACTATAATGGAATCTTAAAATAATTACGGGACATTGGGTGCATGATATGACTAGTTTGCTTACTAAAATGAGTAAATTGTAATTATTATCACCTAAAATTATTAGAACATATCAACTATCACAAAAAAAAAAAGAAACCAACTTTAATTTGCTTAAATAGGGCCACTACTAATCTAATTCTCAAATAAAGTTACATTTGATATTTTTGTCTGGATATTTTTCCTTCTCTTACTTCCTCTGTCCCAAAAGAATAACAGAAATTTTTCGATTTAAATTTTATTTTAAAATGATAGTTATTTTTTTATATTTTAAGAAAAATAAATATTTTTTCCTTATTTTAACTCTATTATTATCTTTTACTTTAATTATTTATTTTATCATAATTTAAGTCTAAGTTTTTGTTTCTTTTTTGGAAAGTAATATAAATAAAAATAAAAATTATTTAAAATTTTTTAATTTAAAAATTTTTTTAAAAAAAAATCTATTATTCTTATTATTGGATGAAGGGGGTAC